GCCACATTAACTTCCCTAGGCTCAGCCTCAGCCCCTCTGCAGGTCTCTCCCCTTTCCCTACCTAAATTTTCCCTCCTTAGCTCCAGGGCTCTTCCCAAGAGTCTGCTGGACACTCGGGTCCCGGGTGAGCACTCCGTCTCCGGGCCTGTATGGTAATGGACATTCAAGACTACATGCTATCAGTGGCCATTACAGAAGCTTCCCAAGAGGCTTCCCCAAGGCTCCCCCAGAGCTGGCTGGTGGGAGCGGAGGCAGGGCTGGGACCCTGGCAGGGGCCTGGCCAACCCCTACAGGGCCGGCACTTACTCTCTTATGGACCCTGGACTCCAGATCTCCATCCGTTTCCTGGCCAGAGAACTGGCTCTGAGACCAGAGGCCTGTCCTGTATCCTCTGGTGGCCACCAGCCCCTTCCTGAGCAGAGGCGGCTCTCTGATGTAACGGGGCACGGAAGGAGCCTGATGGCTGTGCCAGACACCCCTGGGGTACTGAGTGCCATCCCACCTCAGCACTGTCACCCCCCCCTCCCAGGTTCCCTGGGCTGCCTTCTGAAGGTGGCCAGCCCTCCACGTTCCACCTGGCAACCCCCAGCCAGGACAGAGGGCCTGTGGGCCTGCTGCCTCCTTGGCAGGGGCTGTTTTTCTGAACTTTTGATCTGGGAATGGAAACTGTAGGCCAGTGGAGGGGTCCCAGGGCCTGAGTGACGGGTGTCACTGTGATCTCGGTGAGGCGTGTGTACCCCCCCAGGCTGTCCACAGATTCATCACCTGAAGATGGCTACAGATGGGAGGGGACTCTTGGCATAAATTCACCTGAGTAGTGGCCTGGGTGTGTCTCCGTTGTGCTCAGGGGTGTGCACGTGTGAGCGTGAGTGTGGGGGGTGGTCCTAGTGAATTCCCACCTCGAATAAGGGCCTCTCTGTCTTCGCTGGCCTGGCTCCCCGTTCCATCCCGAGGGCCCTGTGTGATTATTTTTTAGGGTGTTTCAGTCTCTTTCTCTGGTTCACTCTGTCCTTTGGTGATTGTCCCAAGCCCAAATGTACCTCGTGCTACCTAGAGAAGAACAGAGACCGGGGAACTCAGAAGCCAGGGCTGAATTTCTAGAAGCAGTGGATGTGGAGGGGGAATGTCAAAGTCAACAGGGTCACTAGGAAGCTGGGACTAAGCCACAGAGCCCAGAGCTTCCCTCTTACCTGTCCCACTGCAAACCAGATACCTCATTCTTAATGCTTTACCTGTTACCCTCTTTGACTTCCTGTCTCAGTTTCCTCATCTGTAAAATGGGGATAATCATGGTATCTAATTCAGAGTTGCTGTTGTATTAAATGAAATACAAGCCTTCTGGAGGAGTGTTGGGCATATAAGAAGAGCTCATTAAGTGTTAACATTTATTGCTACTATCAAAAAGATTGGAATCCTTCATTGTGCTAGTTTCCAGAGATCTCTTCGTGTCCACTCCCTCTCTTCCCCCCTCTTGTATTCTCCCATTTCTATTTAAGATATTTCACAGGTCACAGTTGGAAGGGTCTGGCACGTTCCAACAGCAAAACCAACCCTTTTCAGCCTTAGGCCAAGGCAGGGCTGTGCGGGGGCGGGAGTTCTCCCAAGATGGTGAGCGCAAGTTCGTCCCGAGGAGCAGGTCCGCTTTGTCTAAAGCGCCCTCTGCTGGCCATTGGCAAAAGGCCTTTGGCAAGGGTGGCAGGAGAAGAGCCTTGACTGCAAGGGAGAGATCTACCTGCGCAGGGCCCAGGTGGGTATTGACCTACCCTTAAAATGTCCAGCTCGAATAATATTCATATTCTCTCTCCCTCCCTCCCTCCCCGCCCTCTCTCTCTCTCCAACCTAAGAACATATTCCAAATATAGCTCCCCCTTTAGGGGATAAGGATAAGACACAAGCCACAGTTAGCTAAGGTGAGAAGCAAAACAGCATGCAGGACTTCCTCAGAACAAAGTGTGATTGAGGGGCAGGCAGAGGAGTTGATTCCTACTTAGAAGGTAAAAATGGGGTGTGTGTGTGCGGGGGGAGTGCTGCCCCATGTGGGGTCTGTCAGATCAGTAGGAAAATTAGTTATTGAGTCTATAAGCTCCATACACCCCGAAGGTGGAGATCCAGGGTAGCCTCTCATTTCTTTTTTCTTATTTTTAAAACGTAATGAATATTTTTTTGTGGTACTGAGGATTGAACCCAGGGTGCTCTACCATTGAGCTACATCCTCAGCCCTTTTTATTTCTTATTTTGAGACAGACTCACTAACTTACCTAGGATGGCCTTGAACTTGCTTGCAATCTTCCTGCCTTGGTTTCCTGATTAGCTGAGTTTACAGGGATGGGACACCAGGTCTGGCAGTCTCCTGTTTCTCTCATTTATTGTCTTTCTTTTCTTTATTTTTATTTATTTATTTATTTTGTACCTGGGATTAACCACTGAGCTACATCCCCAGTCCTTTTTATTTTATTCTTTTTTTATTTCCAAACAAGATCTCAGTAAGTTGCTGAGGCTGGCTTTGAACTTGTGATCCTCCTGTTTCAGTCTCCCAAATTTCTGGGATTGCAGGTATGTGCTAGAGTCTAGCTTCCTATTTCTTTCTTCCTCCCCCACCCCACCCACGTACTAGGAATTGAATCCAGGGCTGACTTATCCTGGACAAATGCTCTACCACTGAGCCACACTTCCACTTTTTCTTTCTTTCTTTTTTAATTGTAAGACAGGATCTCACTGATTTGCTGAGGCTGGCCTTGAACTTGGGATCCTCGTGCCTCAGCCTCCCAAGTCACCGGGATTACAGGTGTGCGCCAGCCTGTTTCTTATGTTGTGAGACCGTCTTCTCTGCCAGTGCCTGAGATAGTTCTTGGCCTCACCTCCCACAGAGGTGAACTGACCAGACTTTTACCATAGCTCTGTTGAAAGGATAAAAGGAAAAGGACTGTGGTTGAAACTGAAGCTCTGCTGAGGGAACTGTCCTGCCAGTGAGGCTGGGTGCCACCTCTTCTGGAGTCTGGAGTAGGAAGAAGTCCCCTGGGACCAGCCTACAGAACAGACTCTGCTTCCAGGGGCAGGGTAAGGGAGTTAGTTGGGTGCTTGGCAGCCAACACCCCTGGATCCTCTGGGGCTCTTGGAGCCAGAGGTGCCCTGTGGGTCTCAGCTGGGAGGGGGAGGGGAAGCAGCTGCAGCAAAGTCAAGGGTTATTGTTTTATTGCATTAGAGAATGCCTTGTCCACGGATTACACACAGCTAAATTCTACTGTGCAGGGCCCCATGGCCTCCAGGGAGGACCAGGAGGGCAGATTACAATACATCGCAGTGCTGCCCCTTATAGTGTCTGGGGGGACAGGCTGCGGGCAGAGGGCAGGGAAACTCTAAGACTCCAAGCTGAACACCCCCTGCCCCCCACTCAGCCCCTCTCAAGGTAGGGATGAGGGACCAGGAGTTCATTAGGGTGGGGAGGAGGCAGGCCAGGGAGCCAGACAGGAGGAAATGATGATGGTGGAGAAGGACACAGGCAGCCCTGAGCAGTACAGAAGCCAGCAGACCCCACCTCTGGTCCTACCCCCTTTCCTGCCCCACCTTCTCCTTAAATGTAGCTTCTGGAAAGTTCCAGCAGTTTGGGAGAAATCTGGGGGAAGGGTAATGGATCCCAGTTCTGCTGCTTTCTCAACAACCTCCCCCCATACACCTCCTTCTGGGGCCCTGCCCCAGGGACTGGAGGGGCCCACCCAGCCTGAGGAGGGACGGCTTGGGAAGGGGCACTGGTGTCTGAGAAGGTGGGAGGAACTAGGCTTCGACATGGAATGAGACCCGGGCTGGGACAATGGGGCCGAGGGAGGTGTCACCTGCCTGGTGTGCCAGCTTGGACTACCTCCTCTCCCCTTTTCCTCTCCTGGCTGTCCAGGGTCCCTCTGGGTGGGTTTGAATAGTTCCTTTTCCAAACACCAGTACTGTGGTCACCAGCGTCCTGCATGGGTGTGCGTGCATTCCCCTGGAGCCCCGTCACAGGTGTCAGGATGCCACCCCACAGTGCATGAGCCTATCCAGGTGGCCCCACAGACACATGGACGGTGGGCCTGAAAGGACCCAAGGCATGGGGAGGGGGTACCTGCAGGGGTGGAGGCCAGGGGAAAAGAGCCCTGCAGCCAGCCCCCCTCCGCTCACCCCAGGAACAGAGCAAGTCCCTGGCTGAAGACGGGAAGCAGAAACTTGGATTTCAAGCCTGGGGAGAGGGGGCTGGGACTCAGGGACAAAACGGGGTGATGCAGGCCTGACTTAGGTGTGGAGGAACCAGACACCCTGGTCCACGAACCTGGGGCACAAGGCCTGGTGCCCGACATGCCCAGTGCTGCACCTGCAGAAGCCACCTTGGCAGGGGCCCTACTGTGCCATCCTCCCACCGCAGCCTTCCAGCTGGACGTCCCTCCCCACTCTCCCCTCCATGACACGCACAGGGCCCAGTGAATAGAGGACGTTTAATATTTCTGTGCTGGTCACACGGAACACAGGTGGGGACACATGGGGGAAGGGGCAGAGGGCCCCTGCCTCTCAGGAGGGGTGGCTTGTGATGGGGTATGTTGGGGTCTCTTGGGAAACATCCAAGGAGTCTTCTCAGCAAAAGGGCCTGGCCAGGGTGTTCTGAGCACTCGACACACCCTGTCCTTGGCCTTAGGTTGGGGTCCCCCATAGGGGGTCTGTGGAGTCTCACTTTTCCAGCTTTTTTGCTGGAATCCACACTCCCAGCGTGACGGGGGACTTGGTCCTAGAGAGGGGTCTGGAGAGCCCCCAGGAAGCAGCCCAGGTTTGGGGACCAGGACTCGAGCCCACCCACTCCCCTCTGCCTTCTCTCCTTCCTCCAGGCAGGGCAAGGGCAGAGGGGGAGGCCAGAGGGCCCTCTCGGGGTCCCAGGGTCCTCGGGGCAGGGTGGAGGGAGAGGGTCTTGCCACCAACAGACACTGTAAACTTTGGTTTAAAACAATAACTTAAGTGAAGGGAGGGCTTCCAGCCTGGGGCCAGGGTGGGAGCTGGGAGAGTGGGGTGTCTGGGGAGGCCACAAAGGAAAAAGCCAACAAAAAGTTTTGGTTTTTGCTTCCGGCATAAGAAAGGTCTTTGGTCATCCGTTTAACTGGGGGGGTGGGGAAGGGGTGCTGAGGGTGGGTGAGGACTGCAGCGGGACCCCAGGTGTGAAGGGGAGGCTGGGGCCAGCCTCACCCACAGTGCGCCCCATGCTTCCCAGCAGTGGGCACTATCTGGCCCCAGCCCGGGCCTCAGGGCAATCTGGGCTCCACCTGCAGGAGTCCACCCAAGGGGTGGTGGCACTGGGCACATCCGTGCTCCCTGGTGCCGGGCACTGGAGGGGCACCCAGCCAAAGTGTGGCAGGAGGCCCGTCAGCGTGGACCTGGTCTCAGGTTGGGGGAGGGCTGGAGCCGGGTGGCCCGGCTGGCACAGACCCCCACAGGGCACACACTGGTCCCCCACAACAGCCCAAGGGCTGATTTCTTGGGGATGGTGGGAAACTTTGTTCCCCCACCAGGCCAGGGCAGGGCTAGGAGCTGGAGCTGGAGAGTTGTTTCTTCACAGTACAGAAAAGAAGGTGGAAGGAAGCACAAAGTGGGGAGGGGCCTCTGGCCAGAAACCTCGGCCTCAGCCAGGTGTGGGCCAGGGCCCGAGAGGTGGCTTAGCCCCGCCTGCGGGTCTCCATGGCGCTGAGGGCCCTGTAGGGGGAGCTGGTGGGGGAGGAGGGCCCTGCTGCTGGTGGTGGTTGGGGGAGGTGGTGTCAGATGTAGGGGAGGGTCTGAGAGGGGTCTGGGCCCTCCGTGTCCTTTGCCGGTCCCAGACCAGGGGTTCAGTTCGGTGTCCCCTTGGGGGCGGGACCGTTCCTGCCCCCAAGCGTTTGTCAGTCAGGTCGCAGTGGGAGGTGCTGGCCCAGGCCTCCCTATCTGAGTCCTGGAAGTGCCTTCAGGTTGGAGGGGCGTGGAGTGGGGGTAGGTGGGCCGGGGTACTGGGCGGAGGAATCTCCTGCTGCCCTGCCTGCCCCTCCAGGCCCTTAGGACAGCTCCTCTCCGGGCAGCTCCTCCTCCAGGTCCCTGTCTTCCGGAGGCCCCACAGTGCTGGGGTTGGGAGGACCCAGTGGGGGCCCAGGCCGCCTGTCTTCCTCCGCCTCAGCTGGCTCCTCCTTCACCTGCACTTGGTGGCTAGGGGCAGAAGAGATGAGGTGGACCTGGGCCTTTCCCTCATCCCTCATCCGTGTGCCCTCCACATTCATCCAAACATGGCCGTGCCCCCAGCGTCCTCCCCACGCCCAGTATCCCTGAGGTCTGATGTCCCCCATCTCTGCAAAGAAAAGAGGCAAGGGTCTGCACTGGGTGCTTACCTGTACTGGGGTGGGGAGAGGCGAGGGGGGCTGCTGCTACCATTGCTGGGCAGCGGCTCCACGGGGGCGCCCACGTCATCATGGCTGAGGGGCAGGAGGCTGCTGGCAGAGCCGGGGTTCAGCATTCCAGGGCTGTTGAGGAGGGGGAAGCTGCTCTCGGCCAGGGCAGCCTGGAGCACACAGGATTGAGCCTGTGAGCGGGCTCAGGGAACCAGTCCTCCCCACGTGTGTGTGTGGGGGGGGCTCCCCTGTGGGGCAGTCTGCGGGTGGCCCTGGGGTGTCTACCTGGGCAACCCCAGGGCTTTGGAACACAGAGCTATCCCAAGGTCAGAGCTCTGGCCCTGCCTCCGATGTCCCAGCTTTTCTGAGAACCAGGCCTGGCTCACCCTCACACCCAGGAAGGGATATCACTGGTCATTCCAGCTTCCCTGCTCTCTGCCCCACATGGTCCCAAACCAGCCCTGAAAGCTGAGGTGAAGCTGGGCCCTGGGTCAGAGTGGGGTAGTGGTCTTCATCTTTCCCACCCGCCACTCCTCCCGTGGGCCCTCTGTAGGGAGGGCAGGGGGTCCCTTCCCACCCTGAGCCCAGGGTCCTGGAGAAGGGAGCTGGGTGGGCTGGAAGGGCCCAGTCACCTGGTAGCTGGCATTAAGTGCTCCATAACTGAGGCCGGAGATCATGTTCTTCACCAGGGTGGGGCTCCTGGGGAAGAGAAGGCAGACTCTGGCTCACCCCCTCACTCCTCATGTACTCTCCTAATCCCAAGGGCTGGTGTTGTGCCAAGGACTGTCCCTCCATTACCCTGGGAGGCCACAGTGGGATCAGCCTCTGTCTGCCCAGTCTCATGTGTTCTAATCATAGTCAGTTGGGAAACTCACCTGGCCCCGGGCAGCCATGGCCCTGCCTAGGGGAGGGTGCTTAAACCTCACAGGGGCACTGGGACCTGGCCAGTCTCAGAACTGTCAGGTGGGAAGCAGAAGCCCTCCCAATGTCTGTCTTCACATCGGGCCACCTCAGCCTATTTTCTCTCTGGCTTGGATTTTCTCATGTGTGTCAAAGCCTGAGCTGTATCTTCCAGAATGCCATAGTTCCACGTCTGCAAAATCTTCTTTCTTGCCATTCTGAACTCTGGGACTATGCAATAAGCCATTTGCTCAGCTTGTCCCTGGGGACTCCACACAAAAGGAAGTGTGTGTGTGTGTGTGTATTTAGATACCAGAAGGTATTTGGAGAAAGCAATGGTTCAAGGCTGCTTCTCTACCACCATGATGACCCCATTTACAGAACCTCTCAGAGAAGTCAAAAAACTGGCCCAAGGTCACACAGCTGATGAGATACAAGGTGCAATTTGAACCCAGGTCTTTCTTTTTGGTACTGAGGGCTGAACCCAGAGTGTGGATGTTGAGAGCCACAGCCAATGGGCCCCAGCAAACCTCCAGCTGCCAGCAAACTTCCAGCTGCCAGCTGATGATTGGCTCACAGCGGCCTCAGCAAACTTCTAGCTGCCAACTGATTGGCTCCTCTAAGGTGATGCTCATTGGGCTGTTTCCCCGCCCTTTCAGACCAGGGAGCTGCTCATTGGGGGACTTTTTTTGGCTCTGCCCACACAACCCAGCCAATTGGCCTCAAGAGCAGGAGGAGTGGGGGAGGTGGAGACACTTGTGGGAAGGAGGTGGAGACACTTGTGGGAAGGCGGTGGTGGCAGTTGGGCTCTGAGGGTTTTCCTGAAGAGCTGTGTGGTGCCGTGTGTGTTCTAAAAATAAAGTTCGATTTCTTTTGACAAGTGGCTCCTGAATTGTGCCCAGCCAGATTGCGCCATGTGCTTAACCACGGAGCGATATCCCCAGCCCTTTTTTGTATTTTACTTAGAGATAGGGTCTTGCTGAGTTGCACAGGGCCTCACTAAGTTGCTGAGGCTGGCTTTGAACTCACAAACATCCTGCCTTAGCCTCTCGAGCTGCTGGGATTACAAGTGTGCACCACCGCGCCAGGCCCTGAACCCAGCTCTTCTGATTCCAAGTTGGTAATGATACGTGACAGTAACCAGCATGGAGACTGGTGTGGGGGAGACGGCTTCTCCTGAGTGCCACACAACTGCCTGGGGAGAAGGAATCCTCCAGGGGAAGGGGAACTACAGAGGGATCCTTCTAACTTGCTTCAGGTCTCGCTCTCCTGACCCGAGGCCTCTGGCCAAGACGCACAGGCAAGGTGGGGATGCTGGGGGTCGGGAGAGAGGTGCCATGAGGGGAGACAAGTGAGTTCCATTCACAGTGCTGTGCGCCTCCTGCCAGCCCTCCGTGCTCTCTGCCTTCTTCCCCTTCCTCCCCATCAAATAAAGAGGCCGGCCCAGGGGTCTCAGAGATTGGCTCATCCTATGATGAGTAGGGGAGTAGGTCCTGGGGACAGCAGCCCCCTCACCCTTGACCCGCTGGCTGCCAGATGCCCATGACCCAGCTCTGGCTATGGCTACCGTGGGCTTTGTCTCTCTGATACCGGGTCCCCTTAACTCCCCTCAGTCAGAACTGGGGATAGAAAACCATGTAAATGCCCACCTTCTGATTCCAGCTGTCCCTGTGCTAGCACTGGGCTCCTACTTGCCTTCACTCTCCCTGAATCCCCGAGTTGGGAGGCATTTGCGGCACAGGTCCCCTGGAGAGTCTTGCAGAGACCTAGCTCATACCCAGGCCAGGTGTGGCCCACCGGGGCCTGGCCCACATACCCTGTCATCTTTGGTGGTCTCCGCTTCTGATACTCCCGCTCGTCCACGGTCCACACAGCGCCCTTGACATTCTCCACACGGACGAAGCACTTGTGCAGGCTGAGGTTGTGGCGCACGGCATTCTGGGGGTGCAGTGAGGAGAGGCTCAGAGGCAGCCGCTGGGCTGTCCTCTGCTCAGGTGAGCACAGGCACCTGGTCCAGTCCCACACCCCAAGCACAATAGTCACCTGTCCCAAGTCAGGGACAGGGAGGGGGCGGGCCGGGCAGGGGTGGGCTCCCAGCTTGCTCACCACAGACAGCCTTTCAGTACGTTCCTTCTCTCCCTGCCACGCTTAGGAAAATTCTGTCTGTCAACTACATGATGTCTAGGTATCAATAATTCATCTTGCCATCATCACCCACCAGAGACAGGGAGCCGGTTTCTGATGAGTGTGATCCGCTCGGGCCCATGCACAATACACGCAGCCTTTACAAGTTTGGGCAATAACTCGTGAACCCTCACTGCTGCCCTCATGGAGCCCTGGGAGTCTGGGGACTGTGACTTATTCGTTGAGAGCATGAGGCACATGGCAGAGGCCTGATCCACGCTTGTGGAAATAAAGAAGCCAGGAGGAAGGAGGGTGTGAGTGTGCCTAAGGCAGGAAGGAACGGAGAGCGGGGAAGTCTCCCTGTCACTCTAACTCCTCCCGGCAGGATAGCTTCAGGAATTCAGGTCACCCGGTTTGTAGGACACTTGGTAAGGATGGGGTGCTAGGCCCAACGCCCGCCCAGTGTGGGCTAGGGCCCCAGTTCACCCACTGCCTGGCACCCACGTCCCTTAATCCTGTCCCTGTGCTCTCTGCTCAGCTTTCAGTGCCCCACTGGTCATCCCCAGCCATCACCATCCCTGCCTGCGTCCCTGTCCCTGTTACCTGTCCTCCTCCACCTCCCCCGCCTCACCCCATTCCTGTCTCCTCTTTACATTTCTAAACGGGGAAGAAAGCGGGCAGGGCGGGCAGCCCAAGCCCCTGGAGACCCCCTCTCCCTCTCTCCCTTCCAACTCTTGCCACTTGCAACTGGCCCGATTTCATTACCAATTTTAATTTGCCTCTAATTAAATCCTGTGTATTTTTCCGACTCGCTTGCTAATCCACGAGGGAGGCGGGCGGCTGGAGTGGAATCTCTTGGAGCGATAATTACAAAGGGCCTAATCACGCCGGGGCTCCTGCCTCGGAATAAATTTGCCCGCATTACGGGGCTCCGATCCTCCGCTTTGCAAATGAGAATGACCCCAATTTCCGAGGATGGCCTCACCGGGGCTTTTTTCCCTCATTTCGAAGCCTGATTCGTGATGAGAGACTAATTCGTTACGCTGAAACATTAACGGCAATTTAAGGGGTCTGGCGGGGGCTGCGTAAACAAAAGGATGGGCCCACAACATGGGCCCTGGGAGGGGATGGACATGGGGAGGGCCAGCGAGGACCATCAGCCCGGCAGATGGTCGCTCTGTCCCCGTAGGAACAGCAGCTGGCCTGGCCCACACCGGCTCCCAACCCTTCTGCCCTAGTCTGAAGTAGACAGCATCTCAAGGTGGGGGACAGGGAGGGCAAAGGAAGAGGGAAAGAAGGAAGTCAAAATCATTTAGGGGAGGAAAAGGAAGGACCTCAAGGGACAGATAAACAGGTAGAAGTAGAAATGGAAGGGAAAGAGAGTTGAGGGTAGACAGGGCATATTTCCCAAGTAACATGAATGAAGCTTGGCTTAGGATAAAAACCCTGACTGTCAAAGTGGACCTGAGCTGACATGGATTCTGCTCTGCTGTAGGGAAGGCACAGGCCATGCAGTGCCCCCCAATGGCAAAGGCGGCACAGCAAAGCACTGCCAATTGGGAAGGTCACTCACTCATCCATTCACTTTCCCCAGGCCCAGCTGGCCTCATACTGGGACCCCAGCTAGGTGTGGGAGATGGAGGTGAGGACCAGGCTGCATAACCAGTCCAAGGTGTTCAGTTTGAAATATGAGGGGTGGGTGGCTTCAGGACGGTCACTGAGTAGTGAAGAGGAAGCCAGTTCCTCTTAATGGCCACAGAAGCCAGAAGTAGAAAATTGCAGTGAAGTAGGGCAGGTGAGAGAGATAAGGGGGGGGGGGGGGGGGGATTAGTACACCATCCTCAGGGGGTTGCTGTCTTATGGAAATGAGGCTCTGTGTTGCTACTCCTAAGGGCAAAGGATTAGTATGTAATATTAAAGTGAACATTAGATAATAATTGTAATGATCCTTTTCATTGGTATTGGACTCTATCACTTTTAGAACCTGGTATCTGATCTGGCCCAGAGGTTGGAGACTGGACCAGGTAGTCCCAAGAAGGCCATGCTGGAAAGAGGGCAGGTCTGTGGTTGGCAGGAAATGATATCACTCATAGCCAATCAGAACAGCTGCCCCTGCCTCACAGCCTCTCTTCCAAGCTTTGGGAGTTAGGCATGGGGCTACAGAAGCCGGGAAGCAGTCCCTCCGGCTGCACTCAGAGAAGCCTGTTGGTGCAGACCCCACCCAGCTGGGCTGCTGGTAGGGAGGGAGGTCTCCCCAAACACTTGTTGAAACCTGGTGACATTGCGGGAGGTAGCCTGTTGAAGTGCAGTTTCTGCACTGGCCAGCAGGGGGACTCAAGAACCAGGGATCCAATTAAGGTTCTGAGATATGGACCCCCTCCAACCTTCCCACAGGGGCCAAGACTTCCTCCTCCTTCCCTCTGTGCCATCCCAGTTTAGATGTCACCTTCCCACTGAGCTGCCTGAGCACACACACACACAGGCACACGTGCATGCACACACACCTTATTTTAGCAAATAAATAAATGCATTAGTGCCCTAGCCCTCATCTTTGTGTCACATTTTTCTAGGGTCCCCCTCTTGCCTTCCTCTGGTCCCCCAGGAAAACTCTCTAGCTGAAGGCATTGAAGTGACTAACTGGATACAGACAATTATCTCCCGCCACTGGCAGCAGTGACGGGGACGTGTGAGCACCTGTCTGTGCCCAAGTATATGGTCCATGGGCCTTGGTCCACCCTGTGTCCAGGCCCCCCTACTCCATTGCATGCTGCCTTCAGAACAGGTGGTCATCCCAGGATATCCAGATCCTTAGAGCCTCTCAATACCAAGTTTGGGAATCACCAACCCCTCAGGCCCGACCTCACGGGGCTGGAGTCTTTGGGGCCCATGGGAGATCACGGGAAGGATTCTTCCCAAAGGGAGGTAGCACCGGGCTGGAAGGAAGGGGCCCAGAGAACAGTGATGGAGGAATTCATAGCCCTTGCTGGGGTGGGGCGAGGGCCTATGGCGATGCCTGTGCCCTGCTGGGCCAATTCAGCAGAACTAATGTTGAGGGGACTAACTGCCAGGCAACCTTGGGCTCTGTGGGATGATGTCCAAGGATGACTGGAGCCCAGGGGCGGGCAGGTGGCAGGGGCATGCCTCACCTTCCAGGTGGCAGTGTTCCTTCGGAAATAGGCGAACATCCTGGTGAACCAGTTGTAGATCTCGTTCAGGGTCAGCTGCCTGTCAGGGGTTTCCAGAATGGCCTGTGGACAAGGAAAGGGCCAAGGGAACCCTCAGTCTGGGCCTTGGAGGGACACAGCTCTGTGCCTTCTCCCTTCTACCTGGCCCCTAACTAGCCTCTGAGTGGAGGAGGCCTGCTGTAACCCACACGGGTCAGGCTGGGCATGGCCCAGCAAGGCTGACCAGAGCCCAGACTCTAGGGGCTAGCTCTTGTGTGGGGAAACAGGAGCTTCTTCTGAGGGCGTGTGGCTTCCTGGAAAGCACTGTGCATGGGAGCCGCGGCCATGGGGTGGGGGCTGTTTGGAATTCCCCAATTTGGGCACAGGGCACCCTGAGCACAGGACTATGTGAGAACATATGTGAGGGGGATGTTGGCCCAGGAACCCCCAGAGGCTGGGGTCTAGGGGTGGGCTGTAGGGAGCTCCCCAGCCTTACCTCTGCTCCTACGCTCACCTGGCGGATGAGGGAAGCGTAGGTGAAGGGGGGCCTGACGTCGGCGTTCTTGTAGAACTCGTGATTCTGGGCCAGCTCTGGGGGAGACAGGCAGAGGATGAGGTAGCCAGAGGGGGCCCTCCAGGGACACTGTCCCTCCAAGCAGTGGCCCCACAGCCCCACCTGCCCTCACCTGAGGAGATGGGAGAGCAGAATTTGTCACTGCTTCTCCTGCGGGCTGGACCCCCGCTGTGCAGAGAGGCAGAGCCCAGTCCAGGGGGCCTCAAGGGTGTGACAGGGGCGGCTGCCGAGGTCGGGGGGTGCACGAGACCATCTGGGAACGGGTCTGCGGAGACGGTCACCTTGGAGAATGAGGAGGAGCCGGGGACCGGGTTCAGCTGTGAGCAATGGGGAGGGGCTGAGAACCAGCACCCGAGGGGTCCTGAGGGCCCATGGGCCTGTGGTGGGACTTGGGGAGGCTGAAGGGACAGGAGAGTCACTCACTGGCTGGCTGAAAGGCTTGGGCTCGGAGGGCCGCATGTGCAGGTGGGCCATCATGGCCTGCAGCCGTTCGCTCTCCTTGGCGAGCTGTGGAGAGGCTGGAGGTAAGCAGGAGGCAGTGGGCTCCTTTTCCTCCTCCCCACCCCACCTTCCACCAGACTCCTCAAAGAGTCCACTATTCCCCCCAACTCGCCTCCACACGCCAGCTTCCGGGCTCCCTGAACCCGGCTCCCAGAAGCCTCAGCAAATCTCTGCTCCTCTGGACCCTTCACAACCTTAGAGGCCAGGACTAGAGGCTGCCAGCTCTGTGAAGCCTTTCCCTTTCTCCTCTGGCCCATGGCCATCAGAGTCTGCCCTGTGTGTCCCAGGCTGGAGCTCAGCATCACCCCTACACATGGGGTGGCGGGGTGCCTTCTTCAAACCAGCACTCAGAGTCTGTGGCTGAACAGCACCCAAGTGCCTAGTGTGGTGGCACCTGTGTGTGAGGGCCTTCGAGTACTGAATGGAGATGCAGGGATGGATGAATGGTTCATTCACCCCATTCATAAATTCAATGGATCTTTCATGACTACCCTCTTCAGGCAGGGCGCTCTGCTAGGAGTCAGAGGGAGATGGGTAAATATTGATTGGTTAATTGATGGTCTGTCCAGAGTCACCTCTTAAGGATTGTGTTCCAGAACTTCAATGCAGGGGCCAGACTGCCTGGGTTCTAGACCCGGCCCTGTCCCTCAGCAGCCGAGTGAGCACCAGCAAGTGACTGGTTCTTTTATGTCTGCGTGCTGTGTGGCATGGGGAGAATCAAGGTACCCGCCTCACAGGTTGCTGGAAGGACTCCTTGAGCTACTTAGATAAAGCATGTAGTACAGCACAAAGCAGGTGCCTGATGTGCTAGCTGTTCGTGTCATTTTTATTTTTATGTAGCGCGAGTCTCTCTGCACCTCCCAGCAGAGATGCCCACAACTCTAGTTCACCCCTCAGAATCCAGCTGTCCTCATTCTCACCATAGTTAATTAGGACCTAGAAAGCATAAGATTATGGCTTTGACCATGAGACTAGAGACCTCTCCTGGAAGATGCTTCGAGCAGGGGCCCTCCCACATCCCACGGGCCACACCTGGATCTCCAGCTGCTGCACCACCTGCATCTGCACCCGGCACTGGGCCGTGCTCCGGTCATCCAGGGCATGCTCTGTGTTGAGGTGTCTTCAAGGGGAGGAGGGGCAGAGAAGAAAGAATTGGCCCTGCTGTCCCCCACCTCCCAAGTCATCCTCCAACCCCTCCCACCAAGGCCCGAAGAGCAGACAGACCAAGAGATACAAAGAAAGGGTGGGAAAAGGGGGCAACGGAAGCAGCCTTCTCCTCAGCCTTCTTTGATGTCTTTGCTAAAACCCCCTCTACAGAGAGATCTAATTGCAAATGAACTAATTAAGTAAACCTCTGACGAAGCGTGAAAACAATTTGTTTGACCCTGATGCGGAGTTAATCAGTCAGTGACAGAGCCTGGCACGGCTGTGGCAGCTGGCGGCCTGCTGCCAGCCGCCTGTCCACCTCCCTCCCTGCCTGTCCCCAGCCCGTCTCAGGCCATCACTGTCCAGGCTGTGGGGAGGGTGGTGGCTAGGGAAATGCCCTCAGAGCGCTCCAGGGAGGGGGTGCGGAGGCTGCAAGCCGGGAAGTACTGATGGGGGGGGGGGTGGCAAAGGATAGACGGCAGGGGGAGAGAACCTGGGCTCCCCTGGAGTGAGGACATAGGACAGCTGGTGACCAGAAGCCCCAGAAGGGGTGAGCTCTGTGGTAGAGGGCGAGGGGCCCTGTGAGGAAAGGCCACTGGTGTACCACCTACTTGATAAACTGGCCCAGGTCTTCACACAGGGTCTCACAGCCTGGCCACTTGCACTCTCCGTGTCCGTAGAGGGGGTGGGAGCCGGGGGTTTCCTCATGGGAGGAGCTGGGAGGGCAGGAGGGAGGTGGTGGTTGGAGACTCTAAAGACCCCAGCAGCCCTGGGCCCAGCTCAGCACCAGCTCCCCTGCTGGTGACGTTTCTGTCCCAGCTACAGGTTTCCCAGGGGTCTTGCACCGTTTCTTATGCCCTGGGATGGAGGTGAACTCCTGGGTCCCGGAGTCCCAAGCCCTCCCTCCCCAGCCCTCAACATACTGCCCTGAGGGCCCAGCCCCCCTACCTGTCTCTCCGAGATGTGAGCACAGTGGGCTGTCCATTGGGCAGAGGGTGGTGAGAAAGTGGGGGGGAGACCTTGGGGGGGGCAGCGAACGAGGTAGCGGTGGCAGCCGTGCCAGTGAGGTCCAGCCCCTCCTGCTTGACACTGTCCTCAGCAGGCTGCCCTGGGGCACTCTCACCCTTCCACAGCTGGGGCAGGTCCGACGGGCACACCGCTGCTGCGGGAGAGACAGGGGAGGCTGGCCGGGCCCCAGGCGCACGCGTGGCCCCTGGATCCAGGGAAATCTGAGGGGCTGGGGGGCACTCACCTTGGGGGAGGGTCTGGAGGGGCCCCGAGGCTTGGCTGGGCTGCAGGCTGACCAGTCCCTGCCTCTGCAGGTTGAGCAGGTGCTGCTGCTGCAACTGTTGCATCTGCAGGAGCTGCTGCTGGAAGGCCAGCTGCTTGTTCCCCAGGGCCTGGGAGGGTGCCCGAGGGGGCGGGCAGAGAGGGTTGCCAGCGGCCTCAGGGGTGCCGTCTGGCCCCCACCCTGCGGCCACCCCCTCCCAGGGCCTGTCAGCCCCTGGAGCTGTCGTGGTGGCGTCTGCAGCTTCTCTGCTCCCGGCCCAGCTTCCATAGGGCTGCATGCCTCCTCGCGGTAAACACACGCACGCATGCACGCACGCACGCACGCAGGCGCGCAAACACACAGCCAGACCCAGACACGCAGCAAGACACCCTCCCTCCTTCCCCTCCTTCCTCAGCTGCTGGCTCAGTCCCGCAGCTGTGTGCCTGGGGGCGGGGGCCCTCATCACCAAGATAGATGAGCCGGTCAGATGTGGGGGCCACTCCTGCCTGGAGGGCACCCTTCCCACATGGTGTGTGGGGCGGGGCTCTGCTGCGGGAAGGGATTGTCTCCCCACATGCAGATCCAGCCCTCTCTTGCTTTTTAGACACAGAGAATCTAGTAGTCCAATGGGACTCAATTGGCAGGAGCTGGCCCTGGTAGGCCGGGCGCACACTGAGCCTGGCGGGCAGCACAGGCAGCACCCCCTTCCCACCCCACCCCCACCCCCTGCTTTAGTTTTCACACAGGCACTGACAAGTCAGGCTGTCAGCAAGCCTTCTGAGCCCTCAGAGCCAAGCGTGTCCTGGGTGTTTTGGAGGCTAGATTGTCTGCCTGCCTCCCTGCCCTGGAGGAGGTAGAGTGTGGGGCTGGTTATTCAGTAAGGAGACAAGAGGATCAGTCCAGCCCAGAGGTTTAAGGGCAGACAGGCAGCGTTACAAGACCCAGAAGGGCCCACAGGATTTGGAGACTGCCTGGACATCATCAGGGAAGCCTGCTAGGAAGAGGCTGCTGTGAACCTGGTCTGTGGTTTGGCCAGCAGGAGGGAGGCACAGGTCATGGACAGCGGGGATTGGACACAGAAGCTCAGGAGGCACTGTGGCACAGACGGGCAGGGCATTATTAGAAAGGGCAGAAGTTGGGACAGGCTGAGTGGGGGGAGGTGCATTGCTGAGGGACAGAAGCACAGAGAGACAAGTAGGCAGGAAGATGGCATGACCACGACACAGCTGGACAATAAGACACACCAATGACAGGATGCAACCTACAGTGTGGCCCAGACAACACGTGACATAGGAGGGAGTGAAGGGGGACGGGGTGGGGGCTTGCGAGTGGACTGCCCTTGCCTTAACCCCTATTACATTGACTCCTCCCAACTTTTTCCCAATTTTTCTATTCCTGCAAAGGGATTCTCTCCTGACCACTTTTAGACTGTCAGACTCTGGGCAGAGGAGAGCTAGGTTGTAGGTGCCAGGATGGGAGTTCCTACGGGGGCATCCAGTGCCTTGGGTAGGGGCCCTGCTGCAGCCTCTCACCTCTTTGGGCTGCTGCTTCCCAGCCTGCTGCTGGGTGAGGAGCTGAAGGTGCAGCTGCTCTTGCTGCTTCTTGTAATATTCCTGCAGCTGGTGGGGAACAAAGGGATGGTGACCTAGCAGGGGCTGCTACCGGCAACCCCAGCCTGGGCTCCTGCAGGCGAGGCAGGGGCGGAGGTCTCTTGGAAACACAACCTGGTGGGGAGAGATCTATTCTCTCCAGTCAGCCTTGAGGATACTGAAGTAGGACTTGGGCAGGGAGGGAATAGAGAGGGAGGGGAGGGTATCCCACAGTTGTGAACCCTCCCAACCTCTTGGTGGATCTCCTGAACAGGCCACAGGGACAGGAGCCCAGGATGTTCCAGAACTTTGTCCCTTCCTGGAGTTCCAAAAGATAGAAGTGGGGCCAGAATACAGGAAAGGAGTATGGGGGTGGAGTGGGGTGAGGGGCTGCTGAGGTTGGACCTTTGGCCTCTCCCTACTGCCCTGAAGGAGTGCAGGCCAGGCCAGCCTGAGCAGTCTCTCTGGTTTCTGCCATGGCTTGGGCCCTCAATGAGGCTGGTAGCAAACAAGGAGAGAGGTGCGAGGCCAAAGGCCAGGCCAGTAAAGGCAGGGGCCACTGCCCTGGGGCCAGACTCACCTGCTGGAGCATGAGGGCCTGCTGCTGCTGGAGCAAGGCCTGCAGCTGTGGGGGTGACAGGATCTGCTGCATCTGCTGGGGGGTGAGCATCTGCGGCGACATCATAGCCACTGACACGGGCACCTGTGGGATTTACCCTGTTAGGTAGAGGCAGCACCCAGAGTCCCCCAGAGTAGCTGGGCTCGGATTCTGGCCTGGCTGCCTACTGACTGTGTCTAATAGGACAAGTGACTAACCGTCCTGATCTCTGTGTTTCTTGTGTCTAAAATGGAAATAGTAATAGTGCCTGCCTCATAAGGTCACCATGAAGATTAATTAATCCTAGGACAGAGCCTGGCATATAGCAAGTGTTTATACGGGTTGCCTATTACTGCAGGATGTGCTGTCCTTGGTGCAGGAAGACTAGACCCTAGTGACACTGGGTCACTGGGGAAGCCATGCTTTGGGGGGGGTTTCACCCAAGGAGGGAAAGAGCAGCACTCCACATCCCCAGCTCTTGCGCAGTCTGTTCTGAGACCACTAGCTAAGACAAGCCTGGCCAGTGGGCAGTCTGCAGCCATTGGAACTATTAAAAAACTGGCCCATCTGAACTTCGGCCTGCTCACAAACATGTCACGCACTCTAGCACGACTCTCTAGATAGCACACACAGTGGCTCAGACCTTAGGCAAAGTGAGCTCTGTTGGTGCTGTCCTTATGAGTGTGCATGCCAGGGAAAGAACAGCAGGAACAGAATTAGGGCGGCAGGCTTCTACTTCCAGCTCTGGGCTGAACTTGCTGTGCAGCCTCAAGCAAGTCACTTGCCCAGTCAGATGTCAGTTTCCTCAAACATAAAACTCTGGGATGGACTACAAGAACTGACTCCTACCAGGAGCACCCCGGATTGACCCTGGATTCCCGAAGCAGAGCAGCTTTCTGCCTTCTGCCCCAGGGGGCTCAGAGGACCCTTCTGCAGGGAGAAGGCTCAGGGAGAGGCAATGGTACTACTATTCCCAGCCTCTGAAACCCCCAGGCTTGTGCAGTCATAGCCAGGCAGGTCCAAGCCACTACACTGTCCCAACCCAATAGGTTTTAGGGTTGTTTTGGTTTCTTTTTCTTTCTTTCTTTTTTTGGGGGGTGGGGGTGGGGGTGGGGGTGGGGGGATGGGGGGGAAGTACTAGGGATTGAATCCAAGGGTTCTCTTATCACTGTGTAATAACCCCTAGCCCTTTTATTTTTTTTAAAATAATTTTCTTTCTTTTCTTTTTTCCCTCTGTGGTACTGGGGACTGTGCCCAGGAGTGCTTCACTACCAAGTTACAACCCAGCTCTTTTTATTTTTTGATTTTGAGATGGATCTCACTGAATTGCTGAGGCTGGTCTGGAACTTGTGATCCTTCTGCCTCAGCCTCCCAAGTAGGTGGGATTACCGGCTTGTGTCACAGTGTCAGCCTGACCCCATTTTAGCAGAACAGGTCTTCTGAGGGGCTGCCACCCCTACTCCTCTGAACCCTGTATGCACAGCACCCCCAACCCCTGGCAGAGGGCCTGGCACACAGCAGGCACTAAGTGTTTGCTCCTCTGAGCTGAAATGCCTTCCCCAGCAGACCAGAGGCCCCTCTGAAGGCCTGGGGCTGGAGGGAGAGGTGTGGGCCAGCCCAGTCAGGGAGGAGTAGCACGCAAGGACTTGTTCTGAGCGGGACAGGTGAGTTCCCCAGGGGACACCCCTCCCCAGCCTCAGCCCCACCTGTGGGGTGGGGAAGGAGGAGCTGCTTCCCTTCCCAATCCCTGTCAGGGCCACAACTCAGCACCCAGCCACCCCTTAAACCATGGATCAAGGAATCCCCAGGCTCAAGGGCAAGCAGGGAGGTGCCACTGCCCCCAACTCTTATGTACCCCATAACTAGCAGCTTGGCCCTTACCTGGGCGTCACTCCTGTACCGCAGTCCACCCCTGTCCAAAGCCCCTGGGACAGGTAACAACCTGACCTTGTTTTTAGACGTGGATGTACCATGTGCATGAGGCCCCCAGGGGCCACTAAGGCAGCAGGCATGTGCACATGAGCCCATGTGAGCTTTTTTGGTTTGTTTTTAAACCCCACTTCTACCTTCAAGGAGATCAGAGAGGTCTGGTGGCCTTAAGTGGCAGGGTAGGGATTCTAGTCCACGTCTGTGTGGATTCCAGTTTTCTAGAGCAGGCCTGGACCCCCCTGGGCGGAAAGGGTCACTGTGGCTGAGATCCCAAAGGTGAGCTGCCCTTTTTGTAGCTGCATTCCAGAAGAACTCTCTGGAAAGCCAGGGTGCTGGGATGTCATGACCCACACCCAAGGGGACCTAGGGTTGGGGTCAGACAATGGCACATGCCCATCCCTCTTACAGAATCAGATGATGCGTCTGTGGGTGGCTGCTCAGAGAACTTGGGTCTTACTATCAAAGACTGGGGTCACAAAGCCCAGGCTGGCAGTGTCCAATGCTGAGTAGGTATCACAGGCTGATCCTTTCTTTCCTCTTCCCACAGGGACATCCAGCAAAGAGAGGCATTATGTAGTGGTGAGTTCCCAGCCCTGAATATCAGAGTCCAGTTATCTAGGCTCTTGTCCCTGCTATTTCCTGTTCTTTGAAGTCACCCAGCCTCAGTTTCCCTATTTGCTTACTGAGATTTAGAGTACCTGCCCTCCCTGCCCCTCAGCTGCACAAGAGGACACTGGTGACCTGAGCAGGGGCCAGGCACTTGGCTAAGCTCTTTATGTCTCATCTCCATGACTCTCCACAGCAGCCCTGTGAGGAGGGCACCATCATCCTTGGCCTACAGAGGCAAAGCAACCTGTCCTGCTCCCGAAGGGATATAGAAGCGGGGAGTGAAGTGCACTGCATGGGAAGGGTCATGGAAGACCACAGCTCATCGCGTAAAGAAGCAAGCTAGAGGAGACGGACATGTTCCACAGCAAGAGAGACTGAGGCCAGACACACCCACAGGATCTTTCCGGGTACCAGGACTGTGAGTCACTGACAGTAGCACTCAGGAAAGGATGTGACCTTTTCCCCTGGGGCTTTCCTACTTGGAGGCGGGAGAATGGGAGAGATGCCCTGGAAGGCCTCCCTGGCCCCTGCCATTCCTGCCAATTGGCTGAGCAGCTGCCTGCACAGGCCATGGGCCGCTCTGTAGAGCTGGATGGGCTGGCTTGTGTGTACTCGTCCCAGGTGGCCCAATGGATCCAAGAAGTGTCAGTGGGGTGGCAGAACCCATCTACCTCCCACCTGCCCCTTGGGATTCTGAGATTGGAGCTGGAGCTCCCCTGGCATCCCCGTGGGCCTCCTAGGCTGGGTTGGGTCGGGATAGGCATTTGTTCAACATGGCCTGCAAGTCCTCATCTGGAGAGTGGCCAGGGCAGCTAAATGCTCACTGAAGCCCTGGCAGGGGGAGCAGCCTGATGCTGGCAGCTGATGCAGCCCCACCCCCCCAGCACCCCTCAAGCTCCAGCCCATGAATACAGGATAAAGATAATCTGACCAGAAGGATCAGGTACAGTGCCTGACAGAGGAAGCTTCTCTGAGGGCTGACAGTTGGGGTGGCTGCAATTTGGTGCTAGAGTGAAAGATCCAAATTCTACATCTTCAGTGTGGGACCCTAGGTGAGTGAGGAGCAATGCAGAGGGCAGGTTGGGGCACGGTGTGGGTTAGCTCCCTTCCAAATAACCAGCCCTTAGCCTTATTCTGTGCAGGAGCAGCACAAGATAGTCATGGGATATTAAGAGAACTTCCACGCACATGCTTGTAATCCCAGTTAGTCAGGAGGCTGAGACAGAAGGATGCCAAGTTTGAGGCCAGCCTTACCAACTTACCAAGACCTGGTCTCAAAATAGAAAATAAAAAGGGCTGGGGATGTAGCTCAGTGGTCAAGTGCCCCTGGGTTCAATCCCTGGTACCAAAAAGAAAACAAAAACCAAACCAGAAGAACCTCCAGAAATGCCAGACGGGGAGCAGACAAAGCCAAGGACCTGGTCCTGGCCACAGCCATCCCCATCCCCACCTCCCAGCTACCTGCACTGCCTGGGGTCCTTGCCTGGCCACACCAGGCATCTTCCCTAGGCTGCAGCTGGAGCCCTAATGTGGTGGCTCCTCTGCACTTGGCTCTAGGCGTGGTGGTGAACCTGGCTGGGAGGGGTGTGGGCAGGCAACCCGCTGGGGAGCAGAGCAGCAGCCTGAGGAGCCTGGGAAAGGGGCCACCATCAACCTCCCTCATGACCCACTTCACTCAAGTGTCAAATCTTCAACATGGACTTTTCCGCTCACAGGAGGAGCACAGCCTCGCTCCACCCTCTCCCCACCAGCCTGAAGCTCACAGAAAAGCCATTTCTAATCCCTGGACCCTACTGGGGGACAGAGATCCCATCTCCTTGGAGACTGTGAACTCAGGGTGGGGATGGGAGGCAAGGAAGGTACCCAGAGTTAAAGAGAGAGCTCAGCAGAAGGCGCTCTAGGGGAAACACAGGGCCAAGGACAGCCACCTCCCTGGGTCCTAGAAAACCACTGGCCCCGGCTTCTGGACCTAGGCTAAGCATGAGGCGGCATCACAGTGTGAGGATTGAAAGGGTGAGTCCCGGGACAAGTTTTCTGAGCTCAAGTCCAGGCTCTGCCCAATCCTTTTTTTTTTTTTTTTTTTAATACTTTTATTTTTTAGTTATGGATGGACACAATATCTTTATTTTATTTTTACATGGTGCTGAGGATCGAACCCAGTGACTCATGCATGCTAGGCAAGAGCTCTACCTCTGAGCAACAACCCCAGCCCCTCTGCCCATTCTTAATGGTGTGATTTTGCCCAAGTTACTTAGTGTTTATGGGCCTCGGCTTCCTCATCAGCAAGGTGGTCCTAATAACATCACCTGTCCCATCAGATGTGAGAAAAAAAATGACACAATACTTGTCAATTGCTTGGTTATCTTCCTCATGTAAAGTACTCTGTAAATGACAGTTGTTTGGGAGTACTGAGTAGCTGTTGAATCAAGGAATGAATCGATTAATAGGAGGTAAGGAGGCAAGAGAAACAGTCCCAGAAAAGGACCATTTTATGTCTGTCTGAGCCCCAAACCTCCAGGCTGCTCTCACTTTGCAGGGGGAAGAGTCTCCTGAGGAATATTCCATAGCCTCCCTCCCTCTCAGTTATTTCAGATCTCCTACCCCAACACCCAGCTGGGAAGCTCTTCCTGATGTCTGACTCCAGTCCCTTCACCACCAAGCCCATTCCCTCTTGCTTTAGGTCTGCAGGCCACTTGCTGGCTTGGGGGAACACTCCTGCTCCACAGCCCACCTCTCCCTGCTGGAGGAAGGAGGTCCTAAGGGTGGGGAGGATTCAGAAGAGCAGCCTGAAGATCACTGCCGACGCAGGAAGTATAGACGGGGGTCCCCCAGTCCTGACACCCCCTGGGTGTGAGGACCTTCTCCATATGAGAAGTCTCTTCCCCTTTGCTGCTCTTCCAGACTCTGTCCTCACCCCCACTTGCCCAACCCCTCTTCAGTGAGGGCTGTCTCGAAGGTTCCAGATTATTCAAAGAGGCTGCGGACTGCTTTAGCTGCTCAGCTGTCCAGCACTTTGAGCTTCTCCAAAGCAGTTCCTAAACATACTGTTTTGTATAAATCCAGATACTTTGCTGGAGCACTGGAATCTCCCCCAGGACCAAGGCCAGTACTGGGTACCTCACAGAGCATCACACCCCACCCCTCTAACTCCCCCACCCCCCGACTCCAGAGCATGTGGCTCCGGATCCGCTTGGCTTGGCCGGGCATCACGCTCACCCTTCCTCCCTTAGATAAACTTCCTTTCAAAACCCAGCTTAATCCTCTCCCCAGTCCCCAGCCCCTGCTGCTGGGGGGGGGGGGAGGGGGCTCCACTGCTGGGGGAGGGGAGGGAGTGCTGCCCCAGTGGTGACCCATCCAGGACTCAGACGAGTCTCCGAAGTTCTTTGTGACACAAAAAGTAAACAGAAGGCCTGGCTCCCCGGCCCCCAGATCCCCCCTCCCCCAGCCAGCCAGCCAGCCAGCCAGATGGGCCAGCAAGCTGGGGGGGAGGGAGAGGGGAAAAAAGGGCAGATTGTGCAAAGGAAAACAAAAGAGATGAGAGACGTCAAGAGACAGGAAACATGGGGAGACCTGTGGAGAGTCCATGGGTGAGAGGAAGGAGAGCAGGGGAGACCCACTGACCCTGCAAGGGAGACGCAGGAGGCAGCCAGACCCACGTGTGGGACAAGAGAGGGAGGACAGAGAAACCTGAGGGGAAGAAGCAGGGAAGGGGAACCCAGCCAGAGAGGTACGGAGGCAGAGAGGACGGCAGACAGGCGCAGGCGCCCAGGGAAAGAGACGAAGCAAGGCCTGGGTGATCAGGTGGCACTGGGGACAAAGTGGAAGTGTCTTGGCTCCACCCCTGTGGTGACTCTGTTTCCTTCTGGAAAGTTGCCCGTTTTTTTGGCACTGGGGACTGGCAAGAGCAGTTCTCCATGGGGTCCTTGACCTCCCTCGGTGCCAGGACCACCCTCAGCCTGGCCCCACCCCCACACCAGCCCTTCGCCAGCTGGTGCCCCCCTCACCTGCACAGCAGAGGCAGACTGTTTGCTGTCATTGTTCCCAGGGGAGCTCAGGCCAGAGGCCTGCTGCAGCAGGAACTGCCGGGCCACCTGAAGAGCCTGCAAGACAGGGCTGAGTCAGCTGCACACTCCAGCAACAGCAGGGCAGGCGGGCGGGTCGGCGCAGGGAGAGTTCAGGGCAGTAAGGGAAGGAGCACGAGGGAAGGCAGAAGGCCCAGGGTGAGAGGTCGGGGGTCCCATCGACTTCTAGACTTGGGTTGAGGACAGTCATTATAGGAATCATAGCATTAGAAAAAAGGGACCTGGGACCACTGAGATTCTGTTAGGACTCAATGGGGACAGCAAATGGAAGGGTCAGTGGTCAAAAAGGACTCCAGGGGAAAGTGCAGGGGGTGGGCTCAGGGCATTAACAACAGGCACTTTTGGTTGAGTGGCATCTGCCATGTGTTAAGTACATTATAGGCAGGATCTGAATCTTCCTTCATCAGGCTGTGAAGTGGGGATTGTCAGGCCCATTTTGCAGATGAGGAAACTGAGTCTCTGGGAGGTTAAGTAACATGACCAAGACCATATAGCTTGGAGGTATCAGAAACAGGAGTGAACCCAGGAGCCTAGTTCCAAGGCCATCTGACATATTAGGGGGAGGGATCAGTTTGGGACTAAGGCAGCAGTCACTATGGAGTGAGAGCACATAGGTGAAGGGATGAAGGCAGAGCCTAGGGGTCAAGGGCACAGGGTCTGGGCACTGTGTGGCTTGCTGAATCCAGGGAGAGTGGGTACAAAGCCTTGCACTGGGAGAATGAAATCGAGTCTTAAAGGCTACATCTGAATGATCAGCAGAGATGCACGAGTGGTCTGGGCTTGAGGGCCATGGTGCAGGGGCCGTAGGGTCCTCAGAGTGGACATGTATGGAGTTTATGGGAAAAGCAGCTACAGCAGGTCAGTATGACATCACGGAGTCAGGGACCTGAGAGCTGAGCAGTGAGGAGTCTAGCAGGAGGCGGGTGTTAGGAGGCCCAGGAAATTCTCCGTGAGGTCAGCCACGCCCTCCACGCCTCCATCTGGTCAGTGGGATTGTGGGGGCTTGTCCTGAATCACCCTCCAGGAGTATAAGGCCTGTCTGCCTCCAGGTTCCTCGAAGACCTGCTCAGGAGCCAGCGCAGTGTCCAGGCCCCTGAGGCCCACAGGCTTTGGCATGAGGCAGACCTGGGCTGGAATCCCGACGGTACCACTTACCAGCTGTGACCTTGGGCAGGTCATTTTGTCTCTCTGCACTTCCATCTCCTTATCTGCAAAACTGGGACACTAGCTACCTCTGAACGACTAGGGGGATTAAGGGAGCAGCGCCTGGCACCTTGTTGGCATTCGGAAGGTGTCCAGCCTTCCCTCCTGGCTGCTCTTAGCTGCGCTCTACCCGCCTTCCCCAGCACAGCCTGGCGCCACACACTTAAAGGAACCATGCCTGCCCACCTGCCCGAGGCTCACTCTCACATCTGTGTCCACACAAGTGCTTCCCCTCACGTGCACTGCCATTCACCGACCTCCCCCCCCCCCCCGCACCGCCAAGTCACCTTCACAGCAAAGCCTTTCCAGTGGATGTGTGGTCCACCCTCACACCCAACCAACCCAGCTGTGTGCCCAGCAGCAGACACACCCATCTTGGCCCTTCCCTCCCCACATCCACAGCCCGCCTCCAGGGGGCTCTGGTTGAGTTTGCCTGAGGATGGTCCCTCAATGCACCCTCACATCTACATAGGAACATATGTGTTCCTCAGCAGTCTCCAGACTGCCCCCTGGCCCCTCCTGGGACCCCACACCCAGAGAAACTCCTGGGCTTCCAGAAAGAGGCTGTTTCTCCTCAAGGTTCACTTCAGAAAAGCAGAAATCTGACCCAGGTCTAAAGGCTCTTGGAGCCCGCCAGAAGTGGGCGCTGGGTGGGGTGCAGAGAGGCAAGGAGGTGGCCAGGTGGTCATCAGGAAAGAGCCCCTGGCTTTTACTGACTTCCTCCAGGTCTAATGACAAATGTCCTTTGTCATCTAAAGGTGGAGTTAGCATGGAGGGGGCATAGGGGTCAGAGGCCAGAGGGCAAGGCAGTGGGAGGGGAACCTGCCAGCCCAGTTGATCCAAAGGGGGCACTGGTCAGGGCTGGAAGATGAAGCACCCCAGATCCCTGTGTGAGGGGGGGTGGACAGTAGGGGAGGGTTTATAGGGGACATTGTGAGGGAGAGCCCCACTCGGTTTCCTGGGGCGGGGGAGTGGTCAGGAGAGTTGCATTCACTCCTCACTGACCCCCTGGAGCATGAAATTACAAGATTTACAAGAAAAAAAATGATAGGGCCTTGAAATCTCATTCCTGTGAGGCCTCCCTCCCTGTGACAGGCCTCCCTGCGACAGGTTCCACCCCCTCCCACCTTGCCCTTCCCTGGGCCCAATGAAAAGAGCCAGGTAAGCACCTAGGCCAGGCCCATGGCTGTCTGTTCCTTCTCCCATTCCGCCCTCTTTCATTCACATCTCACTTATGAAATACCCAGGGGCCATGTCAGATGGGAGACACACAGAAACAAGGTACGCGGTTGGTCCCCAAGTCCTCCAGTGCTGTGATGAGGTCTCTGCAGACACCAGTAAGGTGGGCAGCCTGAGGGGGGCCGAGTTCCACACCAGGCCCAGGGAAGGGCCTCCTCTGCTGGGGAGACCTCCCAGAGGAGGCAGGGCCAATGGAAGTGCCAGCTCACCAAGTAGACAAGGAGGCGTTCCCATTACAACACACACCCCACACAGGTGAGTAATAGGGGGAAGAGGGGGTGTTGGGACAATCCCCAGGCAGGCAGAGCAGCTGAGCAGTGCTGGTAGCAGCAGGAGACTGGAGAAGACCAGGGCCCCAGGTATGGGCTCTGACCTCATCCAAGCACTTCATTCATTCATTCTTCACTAGCATTCAGTCACCCACCAGTACAGACCTGGACCTGGAGGAAACAGGGAGCTCGTGGTACACTGTGAGAGGTCATTTAATATAATATAAATTTGCCTACAGCCCAGCAATGACTGGGTGGTTCTAGGTGGGATCTAGTATCACCTGAAGAGCATGCTGCATGTGCCATGTGGTGGGAGTGTTGGGACAATCCCAGGCTTGGGGCCTAAGCATCCCTCCTTTGATGGCCCCTCCCCCATTGCTCAGTGTCCTTTAAGTACTGCTCCATGTTCTACTTCCACCGGGCCTCACCATCCATACATCCAGCTCCCCAGCCAAGGGTGTGCTTGGGAAACTGGGGTCCCTCTGGCCTAAGATGCCCTAGAGTGGTCAGTCACCCTGGGGATGATGTAGGCCTGAGACTTTCTGAAGCCCCATCTGAGTCACATCCACCACTGAAATGCACCAGGGCCATGTCTACACTCCCTGCTGACACTGAGGCCTGGTAAAGTCATTGGACTGCCTACCTCCCAGAGATAGAAACAGCAGGCCCTGACCCCAACTCATCCAACCCCACCTTCTTTGATGTGCCAACCAGACTGGAGCCTCCTTAAAATCGTGGATGTTTTCAAATGCAGCTGTGAGCCCCCAGCTCCAGCCCAGGGCGTACAAGCAATGCCTATCAGCAATACTCACTTTAGTCCAGGCTGAACACAGGAGGCAAGCACAGGCTGAGCCCAAGTTCGAGAGCTAACAGCAGCGCAGTGCCTTGCAGTTTTCAAAGTACTTCTAGCATTTAACAGAAGTCTCACAGCACTGAATCAGGCAGAGCTGGTGTCACTGTTTCCATTTTATAGCCAAGAAAACGGAGGCCCTAGGTCCCAAGAGTAGAAGTTGTAAGAATCCATATACTTCTGACTGCCCAGGCCACCATATCACTCCCACTGAGGGGCCTCTGTGACCCCACAGAGTCCAGAGAGGTCTTGGCATTTGCTCTCCCCGAGTCTTGTGCACTGTCGAGCTCTCTGGTGTGGAGGGGAGGGGAAGCTCTGGGAGGGGACCAAGGAAGGAATCCCCAGGCACAAGGTGGGCTCAGTGTCCGTCTCCTGGGAACTAGAGGCGCCCGAACACAGTCCTGGTGGGAAAGGCATTCAGAAGCCCACACTGGGGTAGGCCATGGGGCACACTTGAAGAGAGGGAAAGAGGGAGGGAGGCTGAGGGCAGAGAGGAAAACTAGAAGCCGTTTGGCCCCTTAAACTTCATCTTCTTCCTTTCATGCCTTGGACTGAAAATCAAATTCCTAGCTCTGTGGTCTGGGAGCTCAAGGTCCGTTTTCCTCAAGGGGAAGCCGCTCCATCCATGCAGTGCCCGGACCCTGGTCCCGGCTCCACGGTACAGAGTGACCTTGGCTGAGTCACATTAGTTCTGTGAAGCTCAGTTCCTCCTCCTGTGAAACGGGGTCAATGCCACACTGACTTCAGAGTTGCTGTGAGGCCCACACGGGACAGTGCACACGGAAGGCTTGGCACAGCACGGGGCACCCAGTGGGTCCTGGGTGAATTAACTATTGTTACTAATTTTTCTTTTACCAGGCAGCTCCTGGTCACTTGCCCAGTACCACCCAGAAGGCCTTCTCACCAAATCCTCTTCCGGCAGCCCCCACAGCCTAAGAACTGTATCCTTAATGAAGCCGCACTCTCCTCCCCCATTCCCATTCCCAAGTCATTAGCAGGATCTCCACGATGAGGAACAAATGGCTTGTGATGGATGGAACCCGGGGCAGTGGGGTCTCTCACCTCCAGGAGGAGACCACCTCCCCATTTCTATAGCTGAGGATCTGGGTTGGGAGGTGGGAGGAAGGCTCCTTGTCCCCAAGGAAGTCGGGTGCAGGGCTGTTACCAGTCCTTTCACCAGTCTGGAGGGTGCCAGGTCCCCTCTGGGGTCCCCCGCCTTATTCTCTGTGTGCCTGGGAGAATGGGAATGTGCTGACTGGGGAGACGAGATAGAAAGGGCTGTCACAAATGCGGCCCCATTGAGCTGCAGGTACAGAGGGCATCCAAGCCGGTGTCCTTCAAATTACTGGTCATGACCCCATGGCGGGTCATAATATCAATTTAGTGTGTCAAAAAATAGAAATGCCACACACACACACACACACACACACACACACACATTTATATTTATACTGATC